TTTTGTGTGATGCCAGTTGGTTTTTGTTGTTTTGTTGGATTTCCTAAAAAAATATTTAATATACATTTTACTGATCTGAGGTTACTGAAGTCTGAACTGAGGCCAGAGAAGAAAGTGGGGTGTCCTTGGAAACTCAGTTTTTTTTTTTTTTTTTTTTTTTTTTTTGAGATTGCATTTATTAAAGCTCGGGACAGTGAAACAAGTAAGGCCTCGGATAGAAGTGACAGGAGAGCCGAGGTGGGCCTGCTTTGTCTCTGGAAACCTGGGAAAGAAATGAGTCCAGGCCGGGCTGCTGTCATCTCCCTGGGGAGTCAGAGAAGAGCAGCTTCAGGGATAAGCCCAGGACTAACTGACGCTGCCCGCTGCTCCCCTGGCTGCACGTCTCGTGGGGTCCTGGAGCTTAGGAGAGGTGTGCCTCTGGGGGAAGAATGGGAGACAGAGAAATGCGCGTGTGTGCTCGGGGCATGCTTCTTCAGTTGTACTTTTAAAATTCTGTATTCATGGCACAAACACCTCCAGGCAGCCAGAATTCTAGCCCCCATCACCGCAGTACAGCTTCTATTTCATAGAAATTAAACATCTCCCCCCAGACTGAAAGGGCTTCCTTAGCTTAAGCCCTGTGTAGGAAGCACTCTGGGACCCATGAGCCCAGGTGTTAAATCAGGGCTAAGGGAGCCAGGCCAAGGATCCAGCTATCTCTGCTCCCGGGATCGAGCCACCGGCCACCCTACAAGTGCCCATGTTCCCAGGAGGTGGCTCTGAGCAACCTGCCACACCCTAAAGAAAACTCACCTCAGAGCCCGAGCCCTGACAGGGGAAAACCTGTGCGGGCTTTGTCCTCTGCAGAAAAGCAATGGGGCCGGGACATCTGAATAGGCCTCCCAGAGCCCAGCCCAGTCCGCCTCTCTGAATCCCACTCACGCTCAGCAGAAAGCAGTCCCACTGACCCTAGGCAGTTGTGGCTCACTGAACACCTGCAGGGTAAGAACTGGGACACGTATGTGAACTTGTGGAGTGAGGAGCTGAGGAGCACATGGAGCTATATACTTAGAGAACCCTGATTGCTTGCTGCTGCTGTTTCAACACTGAGCGCAATTAATTTTATTCATTTTTTTTAGGAAAGAGAACAAATAAAACCCCACTAGAACAAACTCCACTTGGCCTTTAAAGTCTTTACAATCATGTTACAATAAATTCATTGTTGAAGAAACTATGTCTAGTGCTCAAGGTTGAACGGAGTGATGGCTGCCCTCTATCAATTCAATTCTGAATTAGAAGGTAATCTAAAAAGAAAAGAAAAGGCTCTCTGAACCCAGTGTTCTCTATTTTCTCCCAAACTCTGCATTGGGGAGGGAGCGTTGTTTGTTTATTTGCTTACTCTATGAGTGGTT